CAAGTAGGCCAACAAAAGACCAGTTGGGTTGTAAGTATCTTTGTATCTGCAATATGTGCCACTACTTACTTGTGGCCCAGGGGGGGGTGGCGAAAGCTAGGGAGGGACAAGCGGTTGAGGAAGGAGAGAAGAAGAGAAGGAAAGAAGTGGGGAGAATCGCGCTGCAGGTGCGGTCTTTTCGCCGCTAGCGCAAAAAAAACTTGCGTGCCCAGCTTTGTGGGTCCGGTGGCAGTGGGTGCGTAAAAAGGCAGAGGAAGGCGTAAGTAGCTTGGGGTAATGAAGGTCATTGAAAATCAAAGACGCGAGCAATCCTAGAAGGTGTTGTGGAGATGCGGAAAGGATACGAGGACTGTCCTGTGAAGTCCACGTGACTCCCAAGGGTGATCATTTTATAGAGATAAAACGGTGTCCCCAGGGTGCTGGCACTATAGAGTCTGGGCACCCGAGGTAGAGAAGAAGGGCTGCAGAATAGAGAATCAACATCTATACTTAAAATCTGGACTACTATAGAATCACCTGGTAAAATGGTCTGCTATAGATTAACGCACTCTTATGGACAGATTAGGTGGAGATAGTTGATAACATGGAGTAGGTGGCCTCAGTCTTAAGTGACACCCAGGGTTCCCATATGAACAGGAACGTCCCCCATATACAGCGACAAACGCTAATCGCATCCACAGCCATAACACACAACACATGACTTGACACAATGGCTCTCTCTCCCAACAGTCACACACACTATAGGATCAGGTGTCAATGTGTTCTTCAAGGCTTCCCTCAGGTCTAGTTGCTGCCATAGTCTCGGTCGTAGTCCCTACTCATACCTCTAGAAGTAGCGACCGGCGGCGAGTAGCATTAGCAGTCGTAACTCATGATCAGTACCATTTCTGGTCCTGCAAAAACACCATGTGCTTGTCGCTGCTTGTGCTTGTGGCTGCTGCTACTGGCTGCTGGACACCACTCCATGCGGGCCGCGCGGCCGGCAGTCGCTGCTGGGCCCAGAGGTCCCGTGCGGCTAGTGGAGCTGAAAGGCCAAGGGTCCCAAAGCACTCCTGCGCTAAACTGAAGGACCGACCTGGTGAACTGATGTAGGATGGGATGGTTCAATTGGTTGGCGAAACACATGAGTCTTAGAACGTCTTAGATTCAGAAAGCTTCAGAAAGAAGACTATATACATATGTGTGTGTGGGCTGATGAAAGGAACACTGTTTCCAGTAATTCGTAACGTGTGCGTAAAGTATTGCGGCCACATGTCCAAATGCCAGTTTGAACACGATTGAAGTTGCCACACCCAACTACAAGCACGCACCATTATAGCTGTCCTTGCCACAGGTCACGTTCAACTCTTCCTTGCCGGAATTCAAGAAAACCAGCGCAAAGGAACCTGAATCCGTCATGTTCCCTTCCGCCCAGTCGCCAGTTAACGGTTGAATCCGGTTGATGCAAGCCACGTTCAACCGGGTTCCAAAAGAGCCCCAAGCAGCTAGTTCCCCTGCAGAAATGCACCAGTTCATACTAGTTCTATGTTTTCCCCGGAAGCACCTGTGAAGGCGGTTCAAGAACGGCTAGCAACTTGAATTGTCTAACTATCATTGTTGTAGTCATGACATCACATTCAGGATCATTTTCTTCATGATCTATCATTACAAACATGATTTATACTGACATCAGTTCTCAGCATCATCATCAGCATCAAGAACATCACTGTCATCATAGTCATCATCATCTTCTTCATCATCGCTGTCATCATCATGAGCACTGTCATCTTCATCAAAGTCACTGTCATTGTTATAACTAGCATCATGATCATCATCATCAATCATCATCAACAATCCTCCTCCTCCTCCCCCTCCTCCTCCTCCTCGTCGTCGTCGTCGTCAGTCATCAGCACTGTCATCGCCATCACCATATGAAGTTGCACAGGTGCAGGTGATTGAAATGATTGTCAGCATCATCAAGTGCCTACATGCAGCGGCAACAGCTGGTATATCACATGTACACAGATACAGGTGTTTTGATACAGGCGTTGAGACACAGGTGCGGAGACATGTGAGGTGTCGAGGTATAGGTGAGACAGGTGTTGAGATACAGGTGATGCAGGTGTTGAGATACAGGGTGATGCAAGTGTTGAGATTCAGGTGACACAGGTGTTGAGAGGTAGGTGAAGACACCTACAAAGTTCACCTATACACAACTACAACTTCGAAATCTTTGTGATTACTCTTAAGGCGGCGGGGTGTCACGAAACGCGACCCTCTGCGGAGATCGTGCGTGTCGGATGCGCAAAGCTGTGGCAATATATGCGAATCGTCGTGGGGCTGGAGGAGCCCGCTGCCGAGATAGTGTGCGTCGAGTCAATGTGAAGTAAAATGCGCCTTCCGTGTTGCGCGGGCGAACCCCATGCGGAGATCGTGCGCGTCGAGCGCTCAAACGCGAGGCGAATTTGAGTTGTCCTTGGGGAGCCCTCTGCGGAGATCGAGCGTCGACTGCTCAAACATGAGGCAAAATGCGAATTCTGCGTTGCGCCGGTGAACTCTGTCAAGATCGTGCGTGTCAAGCGTGAGGGGAAGTGCAAATTTAAGTGATATCCTTGGGGAACCCTCTGCCGAGATCGTGCGTCAAACGTGAGCGAAATGCAACTTTTGCGTGAGCGCGGTGAACCCCCTGCGGAGGGGGTGCGTGTGGAGGGCTCAAATGTGAGGCGAAGTGCAAATTTGGTTGCCGAAGTGCGTAACTGTCGTCGAAACTGAGGGTGGCAGTTGTCAAAGTGTGTAACTGTCGTCGCAAATGGCACCGGAAGCTGGAAGTGGCTAAAGATGCTGCTAAAGTGTGTAATTGTCGTCAAAAACGAAGGTGGGGGTTGCTAGAGTGTGAAACTGTCGCCGAAAACGAAGGTGGATTTTGCGAAAGTGTGTAACTGTCGCCGAAAACGGAGGTGGGGGTTGCCAAAGCGTCTGATGTCATCTGTAGTATTTCACACCGCAGCCTCCCAAAGCGTCTGGTGACCCCCCCAACCTCTCATCGTCTCAGGCACCATCAGCCAAAGGCCGCGCGAAGACGTTCCCCGTCCTCGTAGACTCAGAAATGGGTTCGGTCCCTTGGAGCTGGAAAGAAACATGTTGCGAGCTTGGTTGGAGAAATAGGTCCACTTTTATGTTCATGTGTCATCAGTTTGGTCATGTTTGGTCCATGTTTGCGAGTTTATCATTTTTGAGGTTTCATCATGTTTTATCTTCTTGGCACCCAAGTTAAGATCTCCATCCTCTTCTCTCTAGCATACCTGGAGAGTCCTGAAAAGATTCTCCATCTGGCGTCTGCCCATGGTTTTGGGTGTCTAGTCTTGGACCGCACAAAATGGCCCTGGCTGCTCGGACTGTATCATACATTACTGCAAGCACCAGGAGTGCACAACCATGTACAATTACTATATGGTGTCCTAATCAAGAGAGTGGTACAGGAGAGTCTGTCCACTTCGAACCGTTTGGGTGTTGAAAGAAGTGTTGGACAGATTGGTCCTTTTGTCATGGGAGAAAGAGGGTGTCCTCCAAGTAGACCAAGTGAACAACTGCCACCCCGCGCAGCACATCAAGTCATAAAACGTGGTCTTGACACTGATGCGGCATGTTTTGCCATTGGAGGCATCAACCCCACCTGCAGTGAGGTTACCTTTCCTGAACGGGGGGTCACTCCCAAAAAGAAGAGTGCATAGAATAGAAGGAATCTCCCTAGGGATCGTCCATTGTGGTCCTATTGCTGCAGCTCAAGGAATACACACAGCGTCAGCGTCTTGAGCAGGTTCTTGAAAAATGAATGAACACCCGTGGTCCCCTCGCAATGAGAATTACATGTCAATAAGCAAATGCACATCCATCTTCACGCATTGTCCTTACTCCGAGCGATTGAACAGACTTCCGAAAGAATGAACCAGATGATCTCCCAAGTCCTCCAGATCTCCCCCTCTTCATCGATTCAAGGTGCCCTTCTGCTACAGGGCCTCCCAGCACCCGTCGGCCTTGGCGTCCCAGCGGATCCTGCAGGGGTCGAACGCGTCCACAGCTGAGGGGTCGAAGGCGCCAAAACCCCTTTGAGGTCGAAAGCCAACATAGACCCTGACAACGGGCCCCCCCTGAGGTCGATGGTTTTCCTCTAGCAACCAGCGGTTGCAGGGGGTTCCATGTTCATCTGCAGGGGAGTACTTGGTACGTGCCCTGACCCTCGTTGCCTGGCTCACTTGGATGACTTCCTTGTTGCTGTAGGTGGCAAGGGTCTCTGCAGACATATTCAAGACCTCAAGAAAGCTTGCGGTGCTGGGAACCACAAGCTTGCATGCTTTCTGCTTCTGCTGTTGCTGTTGCTGGTCTTCCAAAAATACTCCCTTCACAATGTGCACGGAACTGCATCATGTCGACTCTGTTGCAACAACCATAGATGCAAATGGAACTCCTCCAACTTATCAATGAATATATGCGACGGTGGCCCGCTGAGCTCCCAACGCTACCACTGATCAGTAAAGGTGCAGCAAGCACCGCCCACATCGAGAACCTGACTCAGGAGGGCTGTGCTGCAAAGCAATAGGTGATGTTGGTCAGGTCATCCGAAAAGTATTTCAGGCATTTCAGGGCAGTGAAACCAGGTGTTTGTCTTGGTCCAAATGGGTTCCCCTGCTCTCGTCACCGGATCCCCAGCGAACTCCGGTCCCAAGGCACTGTGCGCGGGTCTGCAGCTCCGTCATGATCGCTTCGCCGGTGGTCTTCTTGCTCAGGAGCAAACAGGGATCGTTCCAACCACCAGGCCCTGCCCACCGGATCGCCGCTGCCAGCGGGGATGGACGCGAGACTCGGTCATGCGTGCGATACGTGAAGCAAGGTGAAGCGAATAGCAGTTATTGGCAAGGTGGAGAATGAACAAGACCCCTGGCAAGGTGACCCACTCAAACCACTCAAACAACAATGCAAGGCTGCAAGGTAGATGGAGACCTGGCGGTTGATGCATGGCCACCTTTGTGTTCCACACCTACCAACTACCAGTGTAGCGCCTGCATAGGTTTCCAAGCCATTCATGATGTCAATGTTCTGCAGCACGCCCTGCCAGTTGTTATCATCAGGACCAATACGCCAGCTGTTGCCAAGCGTGCTGCCCATCGGTGCATACCAGCCTTTGGAAGCAGTCAAAAAGGAATGATCAAAAAAACGTTCTTGTTTCTGTTTCTAATAGCTTCTTGTTCCTAGTAGTAAGGCCACCCAAAACCCCTAGTAGCGTCCTTGTTCCTAGTAGCGATGCCCTTTGCTCCTAGTAGCGTCCTTGCTCCTAGTAGTAAGGCCAGGAGCCCCTAGTAGCGTCCTTGTTCCTAGTAGCGATGCCATTTGCTCCTAGTAGCGTCCTTGCTCCTACCCCCCAACAAAGATTTGAATAGATTTGATTCATTGAATCCTCCAGTGCTCGCCAAACCCCTATGCATGCTCGCCCAGAAGTTTACCTCCCCCAATATGCAAGGACTGTGTGGTTCGTGGGTTTCCGGCCATGGCCATAGGATGCTGCCAGGCATAGTGGAGCTGTGAGCCCAAGTCACTCTTCCATCCGCAAAGGCTGAAAAGCACGGGGCGGCCAGTTGCATTCAGTGCATCACCTGGATCGAAGAGATTCAAAACAAGACTCTATAGCTGACCCCTCAGTGTCCGTGGAAAACGAAGGTCAACCTTTTTCCACCTGTTCTATCACTCCGAAACAGTCATTTGGTGCGCCTCCTCTCTAAAATGGAACCTTTGGTGCTACACCTGTATACTGGGATCCCACAAAGGTGCCCCCGTTTCGGGGAGTTCTTTGGTCATGTTCATGATCATCTCTATGATGGACTGCATGGATCTTTTGGGGGCACCTGACTCGCAAGATCTTGCAGGATGACACAACTACGGCTCTGATCACATGCGGAAGCATCTCCTGTCCCAGCACCTCGAAAAACATACCCAATCAAATGGTGTCAAACCAAGCAAGCTGCGATTGGTGTACCTGTGTGTGTGTGTGTGCCAACCCCTGTTCCTAAGGGTTTTGGTTTCTTGCATACGGCTAAGTAACCACATGTCCACGTCTTGCAGCTAAGTATTCACAGGCCGGGCATTTACATGCATAGGCACACACACAACCCCCCCTACCCCTGGGCCTCGTTGCTACCCCACCCGCTTTTCGAGCAACAGAAGGAAATCGCACTCAACACACTTCTGTGTTGGTGCCTTTCCTTCTGTTTCTCCTAGCTATTGCTAGCTACCCGGGCGGTTTAAGACAAAATGTCCCGCTCGCGCTCTACTTTCATTTAACGAAGTGGGCCTCGTAACTACACCTATCTTTCCTTCTTGCCCTCTTAGTCTGCTTTTGTTTTGTTTGCTTTTTCTGTCTTTCTAAGGCTTTTTAGGTCGCTAGTAGTCTTCACAAACCGCGCCAATATTGGCGCTATATGTACAAAGTTCGGCGACCGGTGGACACCAACGACGCTACTAGGGGCTTCTGGCCTCGCTATCAGGAGCCAGGACCTCTGACCTTTCTACAAGGTGTAAGGACGCTACTAGGGCCCCTGGCTTTGCTACTAAGGCCTCCTGGTGTCGCTACTAACTTACAGTCTCTCAACGCAGAAAAAGAGGCAGGGGGCCACCGCATGACATCACGACGCTGGCCAACGAAGCTAGTGATGTCATGGGATGCGGTCAGAGACGTCTGACCGTGTACCTGCCAAGAAACTGTTGCTCACGCTGTCCACTCCTTTGGTTTGTTTCATGGTGTTTCATGTCTTCCTTCCCCTAAACAGGTTTCCCACCGCACTTTTCAGCAACTTGTGCATTGCACTTCAGCCGCGCGAGTGAAACACTTGTTAAACAATACAAGTCACCGGACCCTTTCGCCTTGCGGTTCCATCACCTTCCTTCCCATCGTGGCAATTGAGTCTAACTGAAAACCCAAGTTCGAAGTGTGGACCGCTCAGTCTTCCCACGTGGGTACTGGGTGTGACCCTCCGAAAGGAGGCGCCGAAGCCATTCCGGATTTCATTGGCCCTGCTTGTTTATAACTGACCTTTTGCTTGTTCGCTTTATCCCTGAATTTCCTGATTTTCGAGCCGCCGGGCTATAAGCGACGGAATTTCTACCAAAAGTTCTGACATGTTTGACGGCTACGTATTCACATGTGCATGTGCTGCTAAGTATTCACAGGCCGGACAAATTAACTGTAAAAGCGCCGGAGCGGCGATTTGTGTGTGTCAACCCCTGTTCCTAAGGGTTTTGGTTTCTTGCATACGGCTAAGTAACCACATGTCCACGTCTTGCAGCTAAGTATTCACAGGCCGGGCATTTACATGCATAGGCACACACACAACCCCCCCCTACCCCTGGGCCTCGTTGCTACCCCACCCGCTTTTCGAGCAACAGAAGGAAATCGCACTCAACACACTTGTGTGTTGGTGCCTTTCCTTCTGTTTCTCCTAGCTATTGCTAGCTACCCGGGCGGTTTAAGACAAAATGTCCCGCTCGCGCTCTACTTTCATTTAACTAAGTGGGCCTCGTAACTACACCTATCTTTCCTTCTTGCCCTCTTAGTCTGCTTTTGTTTTGTTTGCTTTTTCTGTCTTTCTAAGGCTTTTTAGGTCGCTAGTAGTCTTCACAAAACGCGCCAATATTGGCGCTATATGTACAAAGTTCGGCGACCGGTGGACACCAACGACGCTACTAGGGGCTTCTGGCCTCGCTATCAGGAGCCAGGACCTCTGACCTTTCTACAAGGTGTAAGGACGCTACTAGGGCCCCTGGCTTTGCTACTAAGGCCTCCTGGTATCGCTACTAACTTACAGTCTCTCAACGCAGAAAAAGAGGCAGGGGGCCAGCGCATGACATCACGACGCTGGCCAACGAAGCTAGTGATGTCACGGGATGCGGTCAGAGACGTCTGACCGTGTACCTGCCAAGAAACTGTTGCTCACGCTGTCCACTCCTTTGGTTTGTTTCATGGTGTTTCATGTCTTCCTTCCCCTAAACAGGTTTCCCACCGCACTTTTCTGCAACTTGTGCATTGCACTTCAGCCGCGCGAGTGAAACACTTGTTAAACAATACAAGTCACCGGACCCTTTCGCCTTGCGGTTCCATCACCTTCCTTCCCATCGTGGCAATTGAGTCTAACTGAAAACCCAAGTTCGAAGTGTGTGTGTGTGTGTGTGTCACACCCTGTCCCTGTCTCTAGGGGACACCCACAGGCGTTTCACCTTTCTTTCGCGTTAACACCAAGCAGGGGGTGGAGACACCTGTATTGCTTTTCTACCCACGAAGCGTGGCAATTCAGGGTCAGGATATCAGCTCTGGACGCATAACTGACGTACATGTTTTTTTCACTTTGATGTAAACAATATTGTTGCCGACTGTTCAGGGCCATTGACAGGTACAGGTTTCAGCGCTCTACTCTGGAAATGCAGAGACAAAAATTGTAGCTCTTTCTAAGGGTGTCTCCGACCCTTGACACTGACTCTTTTCAGAAAGAACATATCATAGAATATCCATCACCCCCTGTTCTTCCACGGCATCTAATTCATCAAACCAGCCACGCATCTTCCCATACTCCATGAAAGCGGTGAGATGATCCCCCGAAGCGTTGCAGGAATCCTGCGCGACTCGGCATGGCGGGCCACTGACAAGGGGCGCAAGCGAGGTTCCCAAGGACGCGGCGAGGCGGGCCCTAAAGGGTCTCGGGGAATGGCATCCAGAAACTGTTTGTAGAAAAGCAACTGACCGGAGCAACGTCGCCGGGAGCCACGTCGCGACCGACGGACCTCCGGACCTCCGAACGAGCTCGTTCCTTTGGGCGGTCCTCTTTGAGATAGTCGATGCCCCAAGCCGCATAAGTCTTGGCATCTAACTCTTCGTGCCTGAAACATGGCCAGACACGCAAATGCGAGATGCCACGAGGGCCATGTGATATTGGTTCGCCCGTGGATGGCTGTTGGTTGTTGTTTTGGTGATTGTGGTTGTGGTTGTCGCGATGGTACTCATGGTCGCCGTCGCTGCCCCCGGCCGTCGTCGTTGATTGGTCGTTGTTTGATTATGATGGTTAGTTGCTGGGCGGGATGTGTAGAGAACACTAGGCACATCTGCATCTGTAAGACAATCGGACCACATTTATATATTACTATATATATTACTATATAATGCTTACAGCTGGCAGCTGCCTTCACGTTGACCTGTCATCTTGAAGCTTCACAACGCAGGCCTTCATACTGTGGGGCCAGGGTCTGTGGCAAACTCAAGGCGAAACAGAATCTACTTTGCCATACTTTGCCTATTTCTGCTGGTAGCCTTTGAGAGGCACCGGCACGTGGGATTGCCCAACCCCCAAGCTCCCTTGGCTTCCAAACTTTATTTGCCCGGTATTCGGACGGTCTATCTCCATCTTCTATGTTAAAAAAGAAGAAACACAAACCCCCCACACGGTCGACCACTGTAGACCACTGACCTATTCACCCCCCCGGCCTGGCTGCTCCAGGCCTTCCCGCACAAGTTTGCTCCCCTCGGTCGGTGTAGGTGCCCAGCAACAGCCCCTGCCCACCGCCCCAGCGGAGCGGGGACCGGAGCCCGGGGAACTCGGAGACCGAGTGAAAAGGTGGAAGTCACCCTGATGAGAGAGAAAGGTCTCAGAGGGAACAAGGGATGTCCCAAGAATTATTGGTTTGTGAAAAGACATGTTAAGACTGAACTTTATAGCAAGTTTCAATATCACTCTGAAAACAGGATCCAAACACCGATTATATAATTCAACACATCTAGCTTTTCGTGATTCGTATGTCCACCTTGCTCCATACATCTCCATACTCCGATCACCCAAAGCCCTCACCTTGCTGTGGACATAGTCCGCTAAGGGCTTCAGTGTGCCATCTGGGAACTTCGCCTCGCCACAAAGGGTGGGACACGGGACTCCAGTCATAGGGAATCCTCAAAGTCACGTGAAATATTTATATAAAGGATCTGAAGACCTTTCGCGACGTGAAAGGTCATATACCCCATGTGTTTGGGTAATAGATGTTTTAGAGATATAGAGAGAGGCTGATTCAGGACGCCATCTTCTGAGATACAGGGGGTTGCCAGCGATGTCCATCTTGCTGCGTGTTTTTGAAGAGGGCCTCATCCGCCACCAGTGTGCCATCGCCTCTGCGGCTCTTGGCCCAGCAGTCATCCAGGTTCAAATACCTTACGGCAGGGGCAATTCGCTTCGGAATTGGACATCAGATGTCCAGAAACAGTGGACATGGCTGGAGGTCGTACCGGGGGATAGACCTGATGTCAAGAAACAACTGAGCTGTGCACGACTCGTCAACCCCAACCCCGCCCCAACACCATGGCGGGGGTCATCCTTCAGAAGACATCGACTTGGTAAGTTACATTCCTGGAAACCCAGCCGTCAATTCATAAGGAACAGCTGTCATGCTCAGCAGTTATCATCAACACGTCATGGTAAAGTCATGGTAGCTGTTAGTCGCTGCTAGTCGTGCTATCAACACCAGGTGTGCATTCGGGGGGTCGAAGGCCAGGGGTCAGAGAACTCAGTATCACCGGCCTATTATGCCTTAGAGGACCCCTGCTTCTAGAGCTTCATGATGAAACTCACTTTGTATCTTCACAAAAGACCTCTCTAGGGGGTGAAGAAGTTGGAGGTGGTGTTCAACTTTTTCAGTTCCGCAGCTGTGAACATGTTTTTGAGTGGCGATGCGGTGAAGTTCGGCAGTTACACACTTCGACTTCGGCTTTTCGACGACTGTTGCACACTTTGGCCACTTCCACTATTCATGTTCGACAACCGCTAATCTTCGACGACAGTTACACGTCAGCAACTCGACATGCACCATCTCATCCACCAAGGCCTCACCAACAACACAAACATTCGCTTTTCACTGCACGTTGAGCACTCGACACGCGTGATCTTCGCAAAGGGTGCACCAAGATGACATTTCACCCCACGTTTGAGCACTTGACATGCATGAGTGCCGTCCCAGGAACAAAACGTTTTGCATGTCGCGCATCTGACGCGCACAATCGCCGCAAAGGGTCTTGTTTCGTAAGCATCGGCTGGACCAGCCCGCCGCCTAAAGCAAAGATTCGTAGTTGTGTATACAGGTTAGTGGTGTGTTTTCACCTGTATTTCAACACCTGTATCTAATTATGCACGATGTACATGGGGCGCTGTCCTCCGGGCGCGCCGAACGGGCACGCACAGAGGGCACAACACCGGAGCATGGGTGCCTCTAAGTTGCTGGTACCCCAGGTCCTTCAACCCGCTCTCCACCAAGCGATCCGCAATGCGGCGCAGGGTTGACTCCTAGGCCGGTCTGGAAGATTCCGGGAGCACTTGGAAGTCAAGTCAAAGGTGATACTTTGGATTTTACATGTAGATTGGACAACCAGAACGGCCCAGCTTCTCACTTTAATGCCTCGGGTTTGGACCAGTTTCTTGCAAAGTTCATGAACAGTTCTCTGACCGATGGTCGTACGGGATTGGTTGGATCGAACATGGAACTCTAGAATTATAGTGAAAAAAAAAAACGTCCTGACTGGTCGCCACCAATCTTGGCTTCAAAAAAGGAGCATGAGCATGTCAAAAATGTCCAAGGTCGTCTCTCTGATGAAAAGGCCATACCCAAACAGGTCCTAGCCATTTCTATATATTGCACGTCATAATATCCTTCTAATTGTGTCAACTAACTATTGACGTGATGTATTCCGTTTGTTCTGGAAACTGAAACGGCGATCGGTTGGGTTTGTGGGGAGCGCGGATTATATACAAGTAAATGTATATAGCAACAAGTCAAACGGAGTTCGGTGGGGTGGTGAAACGTTTTGGGGGGGGTTGCATGGAGTTTCACAAGGTCAAGCTGTGCTGCCAAAACGGCTCCAAGCTGGCTGGATCTTCCCATCTCGGCGGAAGTCTTAGAGTTTTTAGGACGTCCCCCGTTTTTTCGAGGAAACACAAAAAATAAGTATCGTCAAACGCCCCAGTTAGTAAAACTACATGACAGTTTTGTCTCTGACTCAAGTGTATGTGCACTCGAAACAGAACGCTACTCTCCTGGCTCCAGGTATTGCGAACATTCATCTGGGGTCGACTGAGTTAGGGCATCCCAACTTCAGAATCACCGGCATCCATGGAGTCCACGGCATTCCCCAAAATCCAACTTCTTCAGTCCCGAAGAAACACACAAGACTCGAGAACGCACGTCTCGATGGCCAAGGGGACGTTCATGGCATCAGAGCATTCCAGGTCATACCAGCTGTTGTAACCTCGGCTGCTGTTATAGACGGTGGCCGGCGAAAACGACATGGCGGGGCGAACAGTTCTCGATGAACATTACGAAGACTGAGAAAAACCATTGACCCTCCTGATGCCTTTTCAATCTTTTGGAAAAACGGCTCCAGGTGGATAGCATTCACTAGATGCTACACCTCGATTGCGCTCACAAGTTGAGGGGGGAAGCCTGACAAGGATTTTCAGGTTCCGGAATCTGCATGGTCGGCCAACCTCCGCGCACGAAGTCCACTAGTCCAGGACGGACGATGATGCATGACGCATGATGCATGATGCATGAACCTTGGCTGGTGGTTTCAATGAAACAGAACGAAAATGATGAGGACCAGTGGGCAACAATATCATCTCAAGTAAAGTAAAGGTGAAAGGTGAAAATATCTGACACTACCACCCAGATCACCCAGATCCGGAGTCCATCCGAGCTTTGCTTCAAGCATGTTTTAAACCCATGAAGACTTGCCAGGAGTCCATTGCGGGGGGGGGGGGATACGAAGCAAAACCCGCCGGACTCTTGGACACTTGTGTTTATATATAAGTGCATTCAAGGCATCTGAAGGTTTTTTTGCGTGCACCCCTCACTTCAGTTGAAAAAGGAATGCAAGTGGAGCACATCTTATCCCTCAGCTGGTGGAGAAAAACAGGAACCTGCAAATGTTAGACCCACTGTCAATCCCAAGTTGCCCATTTGTGGCACTCGTGCCAGGCCATTGTCCAGGCCGAACGCCGGCAACGCCACCAGCGCGGTGAGGAGCGGAGCGAGCGGAGCGCGGGTCCGTGCCGTCGCCATGTGGCACGTTCTGCCGGAGTGCTGCGAAGGGCAAGCGTGGTCAGTTCTTTCAGTTCCAGTTGTTGGGCTCCTAATTCGACAGAACGAAAAAAATGATCTGACCTGGTTGCCTGTCCAGCTATGATCTGCCTGTCCAGCTGCTCCATGTTGATCGTACATTGCCATGATCCTAGTGGCAAGAATTGAGGTCTTCGACCCATCTGCGACTGTTCGACCGATCAAGATGGAGGCTGCGCTCCGCAACGCACAGGGGTCATAGATGGTAAAAGCTGGCCACGATGGTAACGCACCGGTCCAGCTTCGCTCGCTTTGCTCCCGCAACGCTCAGAATAGGAATGATAGTCATGGTATGTTCGACATATGGTGCTACTTCATGTGATACTTTTGTGCTAAAAAACAGAGTGGCTTCAAAAACATCAACTCGGTCCAGCTTCCTACTCTTCCGTCTTGAACAAGCGTCTTTAAGGGAATGACCTTCTGCGAGGTGGGAACCTCTGGGGGCCAGACTCTTCATGTAAATTAGAGAATAGAATCCAAACATCTACAATGCTTGCTTTCAAGATTCCTGCCCTTTACTCATTGTCTCATCTTATCTCCATCATAAAATCTTGGGTCGGAGATGCTGTTTCTGCTTTTCTGCTCTCTTTCGGCATCGTCCAAGACCTCGGATGTCGCTGTCATCGCTTCGCAGTCATCGCGAGAGGCAACACGGGACCCTACTGTAGGTGCACAAAGGTTAGGGGCGGTCAGTCAACATGGACAATCACCATCCCTGCAACACCAGTTTCATGCACTAGCAAAATGTGCGAAAGCCGCCAGTACAAGTCTATGAACCAGTTTCTCTGCATGTCCGAGCGATTTGACCAGCGACCAGACCACAAGAAGCTGCTCAAGAGATCTCAATGGTATACGGGTATATAAAATATAATGGAGTATCAGTATATATATATATAATGGTGTATATATATAATGGACTATATATATATACAGTAATATGGATCTCTTGAGTAGTTGACCAACTCTGACCAGCATCTGGCCAGATCTCTTGAATTGAAGAAGTTGCCGTTTTGATCAAAAGAGATCTCAAGAAGTTGCATCCCAAAATGTTTTTGGGATGGTCGTACTCATGCTCCAGCAGATCAAAAACATTATAAATTAGACTCCTCATGGCCCACAAACCTCCCGTGCCACGCAGCAGCGGATGTCTGGACATGTCTGGACCATGGGGATTCACCAGGCCAAGGAACCGCGTGAAGAGGTCAATGATTCCACAAACATCTACCAATCAAAAACCATGCCTTGCTTGGTCTTCCCAAGCGCTAACTATAGGTGAGAGCCGGACACCATCACCAACGCATCAGAAACCCAATCCTCACTTGACACACTCAACATCAGCACATGCTTGGGCTTTTGGAAGGGGAAACACCTCTATTGGAGGCTTGCTATTTGGAACCCTCCATGCGGTTGATCAAAGCCATATTTGGAGCCTCAGGTTGAAGCATTGCAAGACCCGGTTCACCCAGCCCGGAAGAATCGAACAAGGTGGAATTCCAAGGAAGAGGAACAACAACTCCACCCCCAAAAAAACACACACAAAATTACTTTACTTCGAGTGATCCCCACCTGGCATCTACCTGGCATTCTATCTGGCATATCTTCTGGCATTTTGTCTGGCATACTATCTGTCATTCTATCTGGCAT